CAGATGATCAGATGCCCGAGGCGGTCGTCAACATGACCAACTGGGACACCTTCATGTACAGCCGCGAGTTCGAGGCTATCAATGATGAGCGCAGCATGCGACAGGTCACGAAGATGCTCACATACCCCATCACAATTGGCAGTGTTCTGCATGAGTTGAGCCCTTACAGCGTCAAGCAGGGGGAGAGGTTGACGAGCGAGGGTTTGAAGAGTTTGAGTGGTGAGTTAGTTGCATAATTCACAAGTGCGATGAGCTGACAAGAAGGCAGCTTTGCGGTATACTCTTCATCCTCCTCTTTCTGGGAAGGGTACTACCATGAAGGAACTTCGTCCTGAGGCACCTCCCGTGAGAGTCTTCTGCTTGGGAGCGCGTGCCGAATCATCCCTGCCCAGAAACGTCTGGCTCCAGCTTGCTCATCTCTTCCCAGAGAGCAAGATTCATCTGATCTTCATTGGCCCCGAAAGCATGGCTAACCGAGACGATGAATTCCCTCTGCCGCAGCGGACGCCCGAGAACCCATTTGGTATGGTAATCGAGGACCGGATATCGCACAAGATGAAGATCAGCACCATCGTGGACTACTACCACACCATCCATAAGACCGGATACTTTGCGCCTTACGACCCGTACTTTGACTGCTTCTGCCTCTTCCATCCTGGTTTGGGCCATCCCGCAAGCAGCCACGAGTGGACCGAGACGCTTCCTATGCTTCTGGAGACCAAGGTCCCGATCATTGCTACAGGTTACACCCAGTTTGATATGGAGAGAGATATCGAATGGGTCAGAAAGACCGCTGCTGGCGAGTTTGATGTTCTGTTGGAGCCTGGCGAAAACCTTTTCCGCAGCTTGAGGTGGGATCTGAATGACCTGGATCCCCAGGACGTCAGCTGTGGAAACTGGGGAGTGTGGGCGTTCCGTGGAAAGAGGTATGCAATGCACAGTCGCCATTGATGTGGTCGGTCGCTAACAAGGAATACCTAGGTATGAGACGACTAAGAAGGATGACGAGTAGACGCTCGTCATATTGCTGATGAATCAAAATGGGAATGAAGTTGGACCACTTATAGAGGTTCTGTAAATAAGTGTATCATACTCACCGGCATGTGCATTGTATAACACGAAAGGGGGGAGAAAAATCAAGACCAAGTCGACTCTGTAATCAATTTTGCTGTAAAATGTGTCCTACCTCCTCTTCATGACTGACTATCCGATTCAAGAATTGTATGATCTGTACCGAAGATACTGCGAGGATCATGACGCACAAAGATCACAGAGTGAAGGACAGCTACGGTTAAATATAACGCTGTTCGGGATTCGACTTGAACATGTGCGTAGTATTCAGTCATGCTACTGAGCTGTGCTAAGATGGGGCGATTTTCGACGTTTTCTGTTGCGCCAACCTTGCACCAAAGACAAGGTAGGTAGGCTGACTCGCATTAGCAAGGCAAGACAAGCGCATGCGTTGTCAAATGTTCCGGCAGGTCGGGTCCGGTGGCCGGGGCAAGTGCCGGGTTATCCTCTGCAGATGCGGGCCACTCCGGCAGGTGCCTCCTTAATGGAATGGAAGGGACTTAAGGCAAGGTACCTTATGTAAGGCGCCCGCCCTGGCGGTCCTAGCGGCCTGCAGAGCACAGGGCCACGGCCATTGAGCCGCTAAACGCACCTGCAACGGGAGACAAGCCCTTCCTTGTAACCGACCAGCACCGGGGGGCAGGTCCCCAGTTTCCGCCTGCTGTCACTCGACCACCTCACAGATCAGCGTCGTCCGAAATCTTGCTGGCTGCAAGTCAAACTTGACGACAGCTCACTCTCGCGACTTTTGACTGCCACCGTCAAAGGCTTACACGCGACAGACTTCGAAGCTTCGTACCATGAGAGTGTGGTCGCGCCGACCATAGACGGCCATGGCAGCTGTCGCTACCCCTCGCGCTCCGACGCCGCGACCGAAAGCCCCCGCGACCGTCAGCTTCTTGAACGATCCGGCCGCGGCCGCTCCTACACCTCTGGCCACCCCCGGCGCCGAACGAACCCGCCCTCCGCTACAGACCAATCCTTCCGCTCGCCGATCTGCTCGACCTACTCCTACAGACTATCTCTCCGACAAAGCAACCGCCGCCTTCATCCGCCGTGTCCTGTGCTCCAAGCACCTCGCCGAAAGGGGGAGGGCAACACCGTCCCCGATCGAGGAACTACTGCCACCCCTGACCAGCCGAAACGATGTCGATCTTCAGCTATACGCACTCATATCTGTGATTCTGAGGGAATACGTACAAGTGTGGTACAGCAAAATCACACCCGATGACACTTTTGTAGACGAAATCGTCCAAATAATCGCCCATTGTACAAGGGCCCTGGAGCAGAGATTGCGAAAGGTCGACCTCGAGAGCCTTTTATTTGACGAGCTTCCCGATTTACTGGATAGACATATCCTCGGTGAGTCAAGACATGCAAATTATCAGGCCAGTCTTTCACTAACGTCCACTCGATAGCCTACCGCGCGGCGCATGATCCGGTGTCTCGACCACCAACTGAAATAGACCCACGAGAAATCTATCATTCACTATGCCCTTTGGCTCCTTTGACGCCCATACCTCGCCCCGAAGACCCCTCGTCTGTTGCGAGACAGCAAGAGAACGAGACGCTTTATCGTCAGCTGTTGGTACAGGGCGTCCTGGCTGTTCTCCTACCGACCGAAGACCTCGAAAACGATTGCTTGACCTCTCTGGTTGGCCAAATCTTCTCCGAGCTCATCATTGGCAACGTCCTCGCCAATCGTCTTTCGCAACCATGGCTCATTTACGAAATATTTATCATCCTCACCAGAGTTCTCGACAGGAAAGCATCAGAGCCTATCGAAGAGGGAGTGGCGGAGGCGTTGCAGGCCGGGTCAACATCCGCCCTCCCCAGGCCTGTTCGTCGCAGTTGGTCCATTCAGGGCGCGTTCTGGTCGCTCGTACAATGGTCATTTCTCGCTTTCTCGACTGTCCGCTTCCTCGTCATCACTCTCGCAATGTCTTCATCCCTGCCACCAAGGTTAGACGGCGAGCTGAATGAAAAGGACCAAGTGACTGGTCAAATATCGCATTCGAAGACGTTGAATCCTCCAGCTAGCTCGAACGAAGGGCAGCCTGTCAAAACACCCATTGCTGCCTTCAAGCTGTGGAGTTGCGTAGCAGATTTGATCGAAATGGACTCTCGCATGCCTTGGTTGAGTGGAATCATGTCACTTTTCCAGCTCGGGGCAATGAGCGGCCCAGGACGTATTGCTGGTCTCAATGGAGCCATGGACAGGTAGGCAACCATCATTTTGTTTCTCCCTCTCCTTCTCTAGCAATCTCACGTCACACCGCATGAGGTTCAAGTCACTGGATATCAACCAGCTCCAGTGAGCAATCAGCAGCGGCCCGTCAGGCGAGTGAGTGAGACGGGATGGCTTTTCCCACGACAGCCTAGTTGGCTGCACTGTGGATGGATTTGTGGATGAGTTGATACGGGCTATGGCGACACACACCTTGGGGTGCACGCAGCGATGGGGGTCGAGTCTCTTGCAGGACTGCGCGAAAAAGCCGAAATATGCTGTGTGACATTCACACCTGGCCCATTCTGCGACCCAACCCTGACTTGACCTCGTCCCCCCGAATCCTCAAAACATGCGGTTGCATCCCAAGGACCTCGTGGCTTCCGACCAATCGCAGCAGGCGTCAACTTTGCTCGCCTCCGATTGCTCGATGGGCCCTCGCGGGGCTGCGCTTCCATCCACCAGCAAGCCTCATTTACGCGCCCAAGTCCAACAGCGAGCATCATTTTGCAGGGGTTCATTTTCATCACCGTCATCTTCTTTGCCCAGCGCACGCCTACGAAAATACGACGCTTGGTCACCTACGGAAAGCTATCAGTCCTGCTCGCCTCCTGACGCCCCGCTGCGAAGTCGGTGGTGAAAGCGGCCTCGCATATCGGGACGCAAATCCTACCTGCGCGGCCTCTTTCACCATCTGGTCATGTTTGGGCTGATCGCAAGCTTCCGTCCCTGACCGCCAGCCGATGCGTATAATCAGGCCGGAACGGTCCAGGCCATGGGCAGTCACTCGATCCGTCCCGGAAAACGGGCTAGCAGCTTGCCGGTCCCCGCTCAGCGCCTAATTGCCTGCCCTCCATGGACCGATGCGAAGCTGGGCGGACTCAAGCTTGGGAGCTTAGCTGTATCCCGGCTGGCATTTCCGGGTCTCTGCGCATTGCCATGTGCTCACATACACCTCACCGCAATGGAAGGAACACATCTCGACATTAAGACCAATATCATCCACGCGCCTTCGACTCCAGGACCAATCAGAGCCTTCTAGACTGTCCCCATCGCCAGCAAAGGGCCTCAAAATCCAGATACACCTGCTCGTCAATCCAGGAAGCCATTGAGCCATCTCAACAACCAAAGACAACAACATCCGTCGCAATCTCGTCATCGGGGGGGGGGGGGGGGGGCCCCCCCCCCCCCCCCCCCACCCCCCCGCCCCCACTGCCCAACCGAGCACCCACCCCCCCCACCAACAACACACCACCCCCCCCCCCCCCCGGCGGCGGGGGGGGGGGGGGGGGGGGGGGGGGCGCTCAGCTACCCCTGCTCTCAACCTCGTGTCACCTTGACCTAGCCGTCTCTATTCCTTTCCTGACATCCCTCCTTCTCTCACTTCCCCTCCCGCAGATCGTTGCTTCCCTTTGTCGGTTCACACAAAAGCCCCTGCAACCCCCCACACACTTGACCGTCGCGACTGTCCGAGTCGGAAGCATACCCGGGAAGAAGCTGACATGGAGCGCTTGCCGCGTCGAAATACAGGCTCATTTCGCACACCATTCACCAACGTCTTCTCGACGCCGCATTACTGCCAACCATTCTCCGCTCCATCCGCGCCGCTCTCTTCCCCAACAACGCCCCCGGCGTCTCGACCTTGGTGGCCCCCTCTTCCGACGAGGAGCTGCGTTCCTTACGCCGCAGGTGCGCTAGCGCCATGCTAGCCAGCATCCCGCCCTGGTTGGCTGGCCTGTATCTAGGCGGGCGAGGCCTTGGCTTCCGGTGGCGGTCCGGACCGGAGTCAAGGCCTGGTGCTGCTGATGATGCTGCTCCTTTGCCCATGAGCGAGAGCGAGGCCGATGTTCCTGGCAGGGGTGATGCCACTAACGGGAACAGAACTAATGATTTAGGTAATGAAAGTAAAGAGAATGAGGACGAGGATCAGCAGCGAATGCTGGCCGAGATCGAAGAGAGCATACTCGGTATCTTCTCAGACGAATACTGCAACAAGCACTTGGTGTACAGCATCCTGGAGCTGATTCTGGTGAGACTGATGCCGGAGCTGGTGGAGAAGGGCGTCGTTGAACTCTGGGAGGAGCGTCTGAGTCTGTGACGGATAAATTATGAATGAGTTTCTATGCCTTTCTGCCTGTTTTAGATACCCTTGTTAGTCTGAAAAACGCATTTTGTAATTCCGCATGATGAAGCAGTGCATTTCTTCTTAGATAACGTTCCTCATCGGAACCTCAGAACATGACACATGGTCGGGGGCAGCCACAAACGCACTTTTGATCGTGAAAGGCAAGAGAAAATGGTTTTGTGATGTTCGTATATTCGCAAACTGGTCGAGAGGGGGGGCAAGAGGGAGAGAATGAAGAAGGAAAAAAAGGGCCATATCCCTAGGAAATCAAATGCAAAAGGGGCCGCCCTTTTTTTCGTTGTTTTTTTCCCACGCAGACTCTTTGGCCGGGGCTAGATGATGAGTCTTTGCGTACGTGTCGCATCGTGCCTTTTCCCCTTAACGTTCCTTGAGCATCCCTCTGCCTTGTGTGTGCCTTCTCGACCTCTCGCCTTTCTTCGTTCCTAGCCCGTTGATCAATTATGATAACCCGTGCCCGGCTCAAAAAGCTTTTGCCCCTTTCCGTGACACCCGCCCCTTGTAGATACCGTGCCTGGCTGACCGGCCACCTCCCAACCAACCGGAATCCTCTCCTTACTTCCTATCCTTGTCGCCTCACAGATGCAGAGAGTGTATAAGACAAGGCTAGGATAATACAGTATCAAAATGGTGAAATGGTTGCGAATTTCGTGCTCGGGGAAACTATGGAGAGTGACAGATATGGACCAGAAAAAGAGAGAGTAAGAAAAAGATGACTATCGAAAACCAGGCTTGAATCGATGTGGCGCATGGAGAATTTTGCGGTGTTTCGCGTGAGCGGAATGGTCTTCCCTCGAGGGGAGCGTGAGCGTCGATAAGAATGGGGTATATGGATGTCTCGACTGAAGTTTCGAATGGGATGGATAATAGTGATGCTGTTGTTTCAAGGTAATAGAGAAAATGTCTCCGCGCCGTTGTCTCTGGCCAGTGTCCACCCCAGTCCTGTATTGATAAGTTATAATTACTTGCCCATATTTCCAACTGTCGTGAGACTGTGGACCGGTGGTGGGAAGACACAGGCGCCCGAGATTATTGTCGCGAAGTCTGAAGCCTCAAGATCCAATCGAGAAAAGCCTCGGGGCTGTCGTGAGACATTGACCGTGTATTCCTGGGGTGTCATATTCCCCATGATAGGTATCGCCATTGTGAAGTGGGCTTTAGTTTTCCCAAAAATCGGAAATCCGGTCCCGGCGAGGGGGATGTGCTCTTTGCAGAACTCTCGTCGGGTCTAGAGATTGGTGAGACCAAAATGAAGGTCGTCGTCCTGTTGTAGATGCCCACGCATGCCATGCGCGGGATGGCCTGTTTCCCAATCCAGTCCAGAATCAAAGCAAACAAACAAACAAACGCCTTGAAGAATGACGAATAATATTCTTGCCGAAAAAGGAGATTATACGCGAGCTGATATGATTTTGCTTTGCAAAGTGATTTGCCGAAGCATCAGGCCGGGTGTTCATTGAGTTACGACGGGCTCGGACTTGACCCCTAGCGACATTGAGTGAACGTGTTGCGGTGCCATCTCGGTGTCTCCTTCAGGTATCCGGTCCAAAATGCCTAGGGATTGAGGTACCCCGGATTTCGCAAGCTGATGCTGTTGTAGGCGCAATTTCTCCGTCAACCTGACCATCACCACATACTCCGTTTGGTCCAACAAGGCTCCCCCATTGGTGCTTTGGATGTAACTCAGCAACGTGTCCGCAGCTTTTCGAGCATCCTCTTGTGTCGGTGATGTCGGAGATGACCCGGCTGGAGTCGTGGCTGATCGACCAGCCATGCTACTGTTGCTGCTGCTGTGGTGCAGATGCGGCGATGAAGTAATGGCGGTATCTAGGCCAAAGTGGGGTGCTGCCATTTCGTGAACCGGCGATTCCAAAGCAGAAGAAGGCGCCGTAGACGCCGGGTGATACTTGGGAGTCATGGGCTCGGTTGATGCGGCCTGGTTCATGTACTCCAGATCGAGAGTGGGAAAGGTTTGGCTTCTTGGTCTCTGAAAGTTTGAAGCAGCCCCTCCATGCAGTTGGCGTGACGTATCGTTGGGGAGGAACTGGCCGGCGTTGGGGTCAGGGGAGAATGTAAATGTGGCGGTGGGACTCATCGCACTTCCCGAGAAGGACGAGTTTCCCGCATCGGTTAACGCGCTGTTGAGAGACGTAGTGCTTTGCGAGTTGGTGTGTTTGTAGGCGCCGCTATCACCATATCCGACAAAACCGAGACCGTGAACAGCGTCCTCATCACTTCTGTCAGCCGAAAGTGGAGATGGGTGTCCTGTTGGCGATGCCGGTGAGATGCCGGATGCTCCAAGAGAGGGAGAGCCAGATAGTTTCGCGTGGTCTGTGATGTTCGTTTCCGATGCTCTTCGCAAGAGCTTCCCTGATACCAGAATGTTCCTCTGCTTGAACCTCTCCAACCAAGTGGTGTTGATGGACTTCATCTGGCTGGCCTCAGGTCCGCCGTTGGTGGTACGAGAAAAGTGCTTTGCTTGATCGAGAATCTCATCGTCGCTAGGTGTTAATCCGGCGTGTTGCTGTCTCCTGACCCATGCCGCAACGGCCCGATCGATGTCAGGAAACTTTCCCTTGGTGTGCCGCCTGCCAGCGGGAGATTGACTTCTGTCCGCCTCCGGGTTCAGGTACTTCTCTTTGTTGCGTAGAACCTTGGATACGGTGCTGGGATGTCAAGGTTAGAACTTCAACGCACTCTTCATGCACATGCTTGAACCCACCTTCGTTCAACGCCAAACATGGCGCCGATATCCGTCTGCTTCACGTTGGGATGCTCAGCAGCATACTGACACATTTTCTTCCGGTCGTCGTCGGTCAAGACCCTTCGCTGTTGCGGCTGCGGGCCGTTTGTCAGCCGTGTAGGCCTTGAAGGGGCTGGGGCAACGACGGGTGCCATTCCCAAGGGAGGTGCCGAATAGCTGTTGGGGTTGGTCAACATGCTGGGCCACGTTGGCTGAGACGGGATCATGAGCATCGGTAGCTGGGCATGAGACTGTTGTTGATGAGTCTGCATCGGCTGCACAGGAGCTGGCGGAGGAGGCATTCTGCCGATTGACTCAGACGGTAATCCATGGGTGACTGATGGCATGAACGTGAAGCCTCCGAAATCCGACATGCTGTTCTGATGGCCGTATGGACTCATATCTCCCCAGCTCTCGGCGCCGAAGGTTGTGTGATTGTGACCCATATGGGTGTCTTCGTCCTGGGTGAGGTGGTTGTCCTGGTCCATGGTGGCAGTCCCCACGATGGAGTTGTTCATTGCTTATATAACTGTAAGATGCGTATTCGATCCCCAAAATCCAATTTGGCAGTACTTAAAACGAGACTGTCTGGCTGGCCTGTTGTCGTAAAGTCCAGGTTCCAGGTTGGTGATTGCGAGGAGGGGTTCCGCCGAAGGCTTCGCCTTGACTGATGGGATGACACTCAGGCCAAGGGTGGGGATTGCTGGTCCCGACAGATGTTGGTGGGTTTGGCTTCAAGAAAGGAAGACACCATGCATGGCAGAGGTGGCCAATTGGTTCCTGAAAGCGCGCTGTGCAGGCGGTCTGCTTTGTAGGTCAAGAAGCCCTGGGCCTCTCAGGGTGACTCGATGCAAGTGCGTTGCAGGCTGCAGAGAGGTGTCGGGGGCAACGTCGTCTATGAGTTGGAGGGCCAGCTAGCCGTATGTCTCTCCGTGGGTTCCTTAAACGAGAAGTGCCGGTCTGGTGTGCGGGTTCTGGAGTTGGAGTTTGAGGTCGTGCTCAGAATGCGGGTGCAACACCAACAACCCTTTCCTGTCGCGGCAACCGCCAAGTTGGTTCTCTGCCGTATCAAGAACCCCCAGCGAGTACCCAGAGTCTGTTCCAGAGGGTTTCCTGACCGTATTACGGGTTGAAACTACCTGGATTAACCGGGCTCAGGTTGTTGTGCCGGTCTTTGGCGAGTTGGTCGGGTGCTGGCGAAGACACGCCTCGCAACGATAAACTAAGGATGGGAGGAAAGAGGGATGTTCGAGGGATGATCGACTATTGAAAGAGTGCTGTTCCTGGGGAGAAGGCTTGTCTGTCTATTCGGTCGACCAGTTGAGGGTGATGGCGAACGAGCCTGACAGGACTGGAAAGTCGGATCGGGCCACTCAGAAGGGGTGAATCAGACAGCGGTATGCTGCAAGAATCAGACGCCGCGACGCACAAGGCAAGGCTTGAAGGACAAAGCTAGCAGGTCGAGGTTGGGGTAGGCGGGCTTGTTTAGATAGTAATACTAGGTATCAGGCGCACGGAAGGATGAAGGTTGTGTGGGCGGCGGTGGGCCGCAGTGTACACATGTAGAAGCTCTGCAGGCAAAGCGACGGCGGATGCTTCCCATGCCCATGTAAGTACACTACCGGCAAGGGTCTGGGGTGTGTGTCTCGTCTTCTCCTGGGGGTGTGGTGGGTATGATTGAATCTCAGTAGAGCCGGGGTCTCGACTCGGCCCCTCGGGGTGTGTGGCAGTAAACCAGGCCTTACGAAGGATAAGATGAAGTTCTCTACGTACCACAACCGCGTGGTCATTAGGTAGACGTTGAGAGGCGATGGAGGAAAAGAGTAGACACGCGCAACGTCGGCCAGGTGAAAGTCTGGTTGATGAGCGATGTGTTGATCAAGACAATGAGAATGCAAATGCAACTTGCCCGTCAGAAGAAAGCGCCCGGCAACGAGAGTGGTTGTGATAGGCCTAAGAGAATGGTAAAGCCGCAAAGGTGCGACGTCAGGACTCGAGTACAGCACCGTCTTATGCATGAAGCATCATGATATTGGCAGGGAATGAGACAGAGTAGAATGGAGAATGGTTCCGCGAGGGCAGTAAAGAGATCGCTCGCAACCGGCGGGATTGAATGAGAGAGTCAAAGAGAGAAAAACGGGGACAAGGCAAATGCCGTAAAACTGAGTTCCAGGCAAATGGGGGATGATTGTTGACGTTGACGAGGTTGCGT